CCGATTTTCGTGTCCATTGAAACATGTGAAGTTACCTAACCTAGGCGCAAAATTGAGTAAATATTGCAGCGATGTGAGGGATTTTGATAATTTTTTTGTTTTGGAATTTCCTGTTGTCTCAAGTTTAGCACAAAATCAAATTCCCTGTATGCAGCACGCGAAAATTTACCGCGCTTGGTTGCCCTCCGTAATCTTTCCGAAATATGGTAATGTTGTAATAGTTCATGCATAATTTACACCCTTTTTGTAGAATTATTCCAAGATATCTCGAAATTCCTCATATAGATTTATGTGAAACTTCGCATAACGGAAGACAAGCACCCAAAGTATGCACAGCCTAAAGCATTTCCAAAGTTCAGGTCGATAAGGGCTAAAATTCGATTTAAGCTTAAACTATTGTGACGTCATTTCCACGTGATATTTATCCCGATCATCCAAAAAATAATATCATATTAAATTTTAGTCTATGTGTAATTCATGTTTTATAATAGTTTTACCATAAATATAAATTTGTTAGTTTAAGAGATTTAAAGATGGAAGGTATCGCTATTAACAAAATTTAATCGTAAAGTACCTCAGCCATCCTTACTTCCCACAAAACCAACCCCACATTACTTATTACTTACTTTCGTTTCCTTTTTCGCAACTGGCGTCAATCTCTCGTACAAATTCATTGATTAACTTCTTGGCTCGTTCTTGCTCTCTCTTTATCTCGTTCTTTTTTCGGTTTATATAATTGGAGTTTTCTGCGAAAACGTGGTGATAAAGAAAAACAAGAATTACATTCTCCATATATTTACGGACGGAATTAATGTGAGGATGTGTGAGAATGCTTTCAAAGACATATTAGATAAATGCCACTAAAACAGCAAAGAAAGTCACTTTGAGGCAAAATTCTTTCGCACAAAATCTCCTTAAAACTAGCCTTCCTTTATATAATAATATCACTACTAAAGAAAAATTATCATCTCCCTCCCAACGACATGATTTGCTCCATGTAAGGGAAAGCAGATTCCAAAATCCGGGAAATCCGTGGAATCAGGAATCCTGGTTTGTGGAATCCGGAATACAGCTCAAGGAATCGGGAATCCCTCTAACGATTGGAATCCAGAATCCAAGTTCAAGTGACAAAGACTGGAATCCGGAATCCGCGGGGTGGAATTTACATGCGGAAACATGGATACTTTACAATAAGTTCATTTTAGGAACGAAGACATGTACATTTCAATAACAATTATGCGAAACGAAAAAATGATAAAAATTTATAGATTGAAGCATATTTTCTCTTCAATAATCTTTTCTTTATATTAATAAGCGATAAAGTCAAAAGATCTCCTCAAATCATGCTAGTGAATGTTTCTAACCTTAACTCGCTTTTGACGAAAACCTGGAAAACATCTTTTTTGCAACGCGAATAAATGGGCTTGAGCAACCAGGGGTATTCAAAGAGAGAATGACTTCAAAAATGCAACAACAAAAAAATTAAAGTGCTACTACGATCAAATTTGGGAATTTGTTTTTGATTACATATTTCGAAAATGTATGTAAAAGTGACTTACCGTGCCAAGTTTGGAGTCCAAATATGATCTGGAAGTGTGTTTATTTGCACGGCAATTTTCGTAAATGTCTTGCCGCCATTACTCGATTCAAAAAATGACCGGGAGTAGTATTTGAAGGAGTTGGGGCGAGATGTGACGTAGAAACATCAACGCGACAAAACAAGGCAAACAAACGTGGCTAATTTCGCATGCAGGACGAGATATTTTTGGAAGCTTTTGGAGGTTCTTTCTTCGCTTTTTTGACTTAAAGCGAAAGTATGCCTGGTAGACGTTGTGTTGTTCAGGACTGTGGAAACGTAAAGAACGATGAATTGGGGATTTCTATTCATAATTCTCCTGATTCGGGCAGCGTTAGATTAAAGTGGAAAAGGTTCGTGTCCATTCATCGGAAGGATTTCAACACAGTGGGAAAATTTGCTGTGTGCTCGGAGCATTTTACAAGGGATTGTTTTACGCTTGCTTTTCCGATGAAAGGCATGAAAAGGAATTTGAAGAAGAGGACGTTTCCAACCATTTGGAAAAAATCCTCTCAAACACTATCAAAGCGGAGTCGACGATCGGTGAGTGAAATTACAATGTATTTGCGCTGTGCTTATCACCATTATATTTATTTCCCGATTTACCTGTGACATGATTTTTTCTGGCATCGTTGCTCAATATTCGTGTAATGAATCCTCTGACTATTTGGACTTCCCATATTGTTGCATGTGTTTTCATACTTTTCTGCTTTCTTCTCATAATTATAGTAAAACGGGCATTTGCGCTGAGTGGACGTGAAGTCAATTCGCCAATTCCCAGACTTTTCCACTCAAGCGTAAAATTTAGAAAAAGTGAAGCTACATAGAAATCCGGCTCTCTATTTTTTGAGAGATTATCTTGCTGTTACTTTGAGATTTGACAGTACTCCAAACTTCCCTCCAAGAAATCTTACAGCAAATTAAGGGTTACAAGCGAGTCTTTTAGAACGACCAAAAATGAACTTAGTCTGATTTCTACATTCTATAAGTTCAGTTACTGTTTCCGGGTTTTTTTTTTTCGTTTGTATTTTAATTCTATTTTCACTGTCTGCAAATAATGCATACATTTTAAGGGAAAGATGTGGTTAAACCTTGCTTCCATTTCTAGTTTTGAAAACATCGACATAAAGCTCAAATTTAAACTTGTTTTGAAGGGGAGATATAAAAAATGGTCGTACCTATTTTCATTTTTAGCTACTAAATGAAATTCTGGCTGGTCAAACTACTAATGAGGATACAGAGGAAGAAGACAATCCTGAAGAAGAGGTGATCTCTTTGAAAGGAAGTTCTGCACCTGAGAAGAGTGCTGACACTATGGGGGCTCCCAATCTCAACCCTGAGGAGTCTCCAGAAGTCGAGGGTGTTCTGAATACAAGTCAGGGTTCTTTGCTTGAGGTAAATCCTGAAAAGGAGGGCTGCATCCCTGAGACTGAGACAGATGAGGTAAGTGTTGATGCTGAGATGGCTTCAGAGGTCCTAGGTACTCCTGGTGATAAGACAGCTCTCGAGAGCCAAGGGATTTCAGGCACTGATGAGGTTACTGAGACCATGCAGATCCTGGAGGCTCAGGGAATCGAAAAAGTGCAGGATATGGATGAAGTTATGCAGATTGATGAATCATTAACGATTCCTGAACTTGAACAGGTTTCTGTGGTAGGCGCATAACTCTAATTAATGTTTATTTGCATCTTTGTATTATCATAACAATGGAAAACTACATGTGCAGTTATTTTACAATACTAAAACACAAAAATTCTAAAGTCTTGTTATTACAGCCTGTATTAATGTTGAAAGTTTGTTTTTTATAGGATACTCCAACTGGACATGCTGGGAATTGCAAAACATGCAAAACCCTGAGGAGTGAGGTGACTCAGTTAAGGGGCAAAGTCACAAGACTGAAGAGTAAGTCAATCTCCAATCAAGATCAGTGGGTTGAAACCTTTAAGAGCATACAAGAGCCGAAGCAGTTGCTGATGGTGATTGCTGGTGAGTCAACAATAATTGATGTTGATGAGTCATATAGGCATAACTGCCTATCTTTATATTTTTATTACATTTTATCAATATTTGATTATTTAATAATAATTAAAATTTTAATGGTGATAGAATTTTTTTAATTCCATTTGTTTAAGCTATTCAAACTGATCCATGGCCAGTAACAAATGAGACAGAGTTATAGGGCTAGAGGATGAATCAGAAGATGAGCAGGAAATGCAGGATGACGCGTATGAGGAGTTTGAGTGTGATGAAGACCCTACATGGAGTCCTGAAGAAATCGAAGATGCATATAAAAAAGTAAAGGAAGACGATACAAAGATGCAAAATTTATTGCATTTTAACATCATAGCTCTAAGTATCCTCTGGGAAGTGATTTAGGCCTAAAACTAACTTCCATTATGAGAGGATCTATTTAGAAACAAGAGTACATGAAATTTGTTTTTTAATTTACTCAGATAAGAATTGCAAAAAAAAAAAAAAAAAAAAAAAAAAAAAAAGAAGAGGCATAGCCAGCCCATAGACTGGAAGTCCCAAGCCTAAAAATGTTTGGTTTGTCCACTCAACCACTTGTAATAAATTATGCATCGCTGGGGTGGGCTAGATAGCTTAAGGGCTCAAAGTTGTCATGTGTGCAATCAACAGAATTATTATGAAAAAGCATTTTTCAGGATGTATGTGAGAATAAAATCCCAACCCACAATTAGCCAGGTTTACAACAAGTTGAAAAACTGGCAACACCCTGAGAAAAACAATAAAAATGATAATCATTTTTTTTATTGTTATTTTATTATTTCAGATGCTATCATTAAATGAGCATTTCCTTTCAATCATTTTTTACAGGTTGGATCTACAAGGAAAAAACATTCGAGAGAAACCGAAGGGAATTGTTTTCCTTTCCAAACTTCTTCTTTTGTTTCAGTTCTGCCACTTGTGCTTCTTTTCAAAACCCAAACTTTCCGTATCACAGGCAGGTACCTTGTTAACCGTAGAGAGTTTCTGCAGAAACTGTAGCCAGACAAAAGTCTGGAAGAGTCAACCAGACCTGCTAGGAAAGTTTCCAGCAGGTAACCTGCTATTAAGTTTTGCAGTGCTCTGTGAGCCGAATGAAAAGAAAGAAACGATACATTAAAACTGTAATTAAATTCAGGCTGAATTCGATTTAATTTTTATTACTTGTGTACATGAAAATTAGAGCAACATCAGAATTCCCAGCCACTAAACTTGAGTTTAACTGAATGCTAGAAGAACAGGGCTTCACACAGTGGGCAAGTTTGTCATTCAACAAAAAGCGAGTAAGTGGCTGAGAATTCTGAAGTTTGGCCCATAAAATTAAGTGCTTACGGACAGAGTATTCAAGCAACTACTGTAGGTCCTTCTTGGCCCCAATGGCATACATGACACTCTTCAAGAACAAACAGTGCATTTCTTATTCATTTTCTTCATCTTCGAATCCACGATAATGGCCATTTTGACTCGGAAATTGTTTCCTGATTTTATTGTAGGCACAACAGGGCAAGGGGTATCGCCTGGAACTACCAATATAACTCCACAGCAGTCTTGTAAATTGGCGATAGGCCACAGACCTCAGGAATCTAGTTAGAGAAATGAGATCACTGTTAATTCAAGGAGGGATTGGATGGAGATAAATAAATACTCCTTTTAAAAATAAGTAGTTGGGGCAATAAAGCCATTTAGAAAATAAAAAATGTGATTCTATGAGATCAGTCCACGGCGATGAGCTTAGATGTATCAATTATTCAATGCTATGTAAGGTTCGATCGTTCCGATACAAAGTCAACAATACCCCAGCTTACTCATTATCACTTTTGTTGCTTTGCCCACGAACAGTTGTGTACGACTTTCCAGCTCGCGTTTTTAGGCCCAGTGCAGCCACTTCTAATACGTGGCGGTTTAAGCAGACGCTTTCAAACCCTGGATGGAGGGTTATGCATACGGTCCGGTCTCCAGTGGCTTCTTCCATGACCTCTTCGCAGCGATCGATCTCTTTGCAGCAAATGCACTCCTGCGCCTTTGTAACAAGGCTGATAGAGCAGTTCGAGCACGAACACCAGCAAAATAATGTGAAAAATTCGTCAAACACAAGAAAAATACGTCTGTATAAAATTATTAATAGTCTGACCTCTTCAATAAAACTATCGCATAAAATCAGGACTACAGCTAATCACATAGCAACGAAATTGTAAACTTAAACAAAACACACAGTCGCGTTCGTCACGCGCACGATTTAACGACGGGTATGTTGAAATTGGAAAATAAAAATATAAATCTGCATTCCATGATAATACCATACCATTCATTCGCTGGCACCTCTCCCGAATATCTTCGTTGAAACTGTTGTTCCTCTTCTTCTTCGCGATGAACTCTTTCGTTGTAGTCCGCGGCTTCTTCCTCGGTAGCAAGGGGTTCGCAACTGTCGTCGTACGGCGCAAATTCAGACAATTCCCCCATCACTTCGTCAACTGTAAAACTTTCTAGATCACTTTCAGATGTGCAGGAAGAGGAATCCGACGGAGATGACATCTTAAACGTCTTGTTAAAAGGCTCTAAACTCACAAACTTTTCCCAAATGCGAATCTTTTGATTGATGTTTCTACGTCACAGTGCATAATCCACGTGGTCAAACGCACGACAGCTTTGCGGAGATCTCGCGGGCTATTGCTTTGCGAACTTTGTAATGGCGGACGGTATTTACGCACTTTTCAGTGGGAAATTTCCAGCCCCCGTACGCAAGTATCGTTCCAATTTTTCGCTATTTGTATAATTTTGACCATATACAAAAGATTTATGTTAAAAAAACTCGGAAACAAAAACAAAAATTTTCGGCGTAGTAGCACTTTAAACCGGAGGGCTAACGTCGATTCTCTCAAATACAAGCAAGCTGTGATTTGAAATCGCTTACTTATATAATAATGCTAGTCATTACCCTCAAGATTTAGAGCCTGCTGTTCAGCTTTTATCAGCACTGGGAACATGATGGAGAGAACAATGATCATTGCTTCAAAATCCATCTTCGAATCTAAGAGAGGAACCAGTGCTTACAGTTTCTTTCCGAAATGACACACGTAATCACCTGCAAAGTAATTGCAGTGATAGATTAGCGTAGAAAGCTATACCGAATGAAGGAAAAAAAATTATGTGACAACTGTAACAACGCAAACTCTTGGGTAACTGAGCTAGTTACGCGCATGCGTTTCTGAGGAAAGAGTCCTGGGTGCCGGTCACTTCCTGTGGGGAATGGAGGAATTTTTACGTCTCCTACTGGAGACGGGACCGCCATTTTACGTAGTCATCCAAGCCACGCGAAGGTCTAGCCATTTGCAAGAGAGCAAAGGTAATACCCTCATTTCTCAGTCATTTTAAGACTCTGAGTATTGGCCCGGCCCCGGGAATCGAACCCGCGACCTCCCGTTCCGCAGTCAAGCGCTCTACCTAGTGCCGCGGTTAAAATGGGCAGACAAAAAAAATATTACTTGAGTTTGCCTGCAACACTAATCTCGGGCCAAAAATATGGTAACTTGATCAACAAATTACAAATTTGTGCCCCGATACTAGCCAACAGTGCAAAGTAGTGGAAAGTTACGCCCGGAAAGACGCATTATGCCAAAAATGATGCCTAGCACAATCTACATACATACATACATGCATACATACTTTATTAGTATTCCTCAGGGGGCTTTTTAATACTAAACAGCAAAGGACATTATAATACAAAAATGAATAAAATATAAAAAGCGGTCATTAAAATAATTCTCTAGCATGTGCGTTTTCAACTTTTTTTAAAATGATGCTAAAGATAACTGTTAAAGTCTTCGTCTAAATTGTTGCAAATGTTGACTGCTCTATGGAGGAAACGTAGCTGGCCTGACTTTGTCTTACTTGGAGGAATATCAGGGGATTCTCTGTTTCTACGGGGTGTTTCAAAAGTTCGTTCCGATTTTTTCTTCACTTAAATTTCACTGATTATTAAAGACAACTTTCGTAAACCTAAGCATGTTATTCATTATTCATTTAACATTGCCTAACTGAAGTATTAGCAACCAGAATGTTTTCCTTTATGATTTCTGACTTTTTCTAAGCGGTGAGGTATAGAATGTACGAGCTCCCACAGCGTGTCTAAATTCACAATTTTCCAGGTGAAGCGTGGTCGCTGTCTTGGCTAGTCCAATGTTTTGGGGGCTGGATCTTTGTATGCTGTCTCATCAACGATAATCCAGATGTTTACTAGAGGGTTAGCATAACGTGAGTTTGCCTGCCGATCGTCCTTTGGTATAAAGTTTGCAAATTCTTCTGGTGCCTGCATGAAGTGTACACCGCCTTTTTTCTCTTCAAGGCTTTCCAACCTTTGTTGGTCACATATCTCCATACCGTTGTGCTCGAAACTTTGATATTGTGAAGTTGAAGTTTTCTTTTTACCTTGCAGTCTTGTTGAATTATTACGCATATACGTACAGCTTTTTCGATAACATTTTTCACACAGTTTGTAAAAAAAACCGGCCATCTACTCCTTGGTTTGTCTTGTAAGGTCTACTTTTGACCACTTGTTCTCTCATCGTTCAGACTTCTTCAACAATTTGACAACTTCTTTGACTAAATGGACAGAGTACCGTAAAAATAGATGCCTGGCTCTAGCACAAACAGTGTACGCCTTCATTTCCGTGAAAGAGTAGATAGAACAAAAGAAAACGCCTAAAAAACGAAAATAGAAAACCTACAAAATGGGCAGGAAAAATATGGCGGGAAAAAATTCGCGTACGTGCACATTTGGGAAAAAATTTGAAAATATCGTAATTTCTTCAAATCTTAGTTTGAAATTGCTTTGAACGGTTATTTAGATAAATTTCCTACCTGAATCAGTTTACATTTGCCTAAGGAAGAATTAAATGCTTTGCGCAAAATTCAATTTACAATCGGAACGAACTTTTCAAACACCCTGTAGTGTTATGATAGTGAATAGACTTGCGTCTTCGGGAGAGACTCACACAAGTATGTGGGGTGCCAGGCCCTTCATGCAACTAAACGTCATTACAGTGTCTCTTTAGTGGAGATGCTTGTTTACCGGTAGTCATTTGATCTCGCGTAACGCCCAATCTATCAAATTAAAGCCTACTTTTTGCCAAGCTCCTAGGTAGTTGTTTACGTTATATTCCAAATAGCTTTCTCTTTAGTTAGTTGCGTTATTTTTAGCTATTCAAGGACAACAGGACTCCGCGAACCTCTTTGGCAATTTTTCCTGGTTTGTATTCATCTACCCGCTTTTTTGGGAGAAGATATACTGATCTTCACTAACACTGAAGACTCAAGGACCCCAATGTCAATTTGCGGAAAATATCTGTTCGGAAGACGATTTGAGATCTAGAATGTTCGAAAGATTTGTTGCAAAATTTCTTGCTTACCTGCCTCTCCTAGCATTTTCGAACATCTAAAAATTGGTATAATATGCCATTTTTATCGGATTTTTACCCTAATGAGGTATCCTAGGATTTTCGGGAGCCTTTTTTCTGGCTGAAATTTTCGAAAAGGTAAGTTTTGATTCCTATAATTTTCGGATCACTACGGGGACTTTCAGCTAGGAAATCCGAACAGATGAAAAATTTTTAGGGGATAAAAATATGCCTATATCTACGGTTTAAATACTAAAATACGTTTAACAATGCTATGCTTAAGTGGTTTTGAACTATATTCTCGTTGCGTGCCCCTGAAGACTGAACCAGTTGTCTTGAGGGACCTTAAAATGAGAGGACGGCGACGGCAGGGTAAACGTCGGTTAAAAAGTGAATTTGCAGTTTTCGATCTTCATCGCGATTATTGCAATTCGCTTTCTTTGTCAAATGTAGGCGAATTCTCCTGGTGTTGAATTCCTAAGAGCCTTGTGCGAGTTAAAAATAAAGAAAGAAAATTTCGTCGTTGCATGTTTATGTCCTTCATAAAACATTAGGTATTTTTGGCACGTCATAGTCGACGTTCAACAACGAGTTGATGTTTTGCTTATCATGAAACCTATTGTTTTCGTAGACGTTTTCGTTGCCGTCACCGTCGTCGGATCTTAAGCTCCAGTCTTACTTTAAACAGCTGTAAAGCTTAAATTATAAAATACCTGAAAAAAGGCTTTCGAAATTCAAACGTGTATATTCTGTTTGCTCTGTTATAAACTCTGACAGCCGTGTATTTTATTCAGCCCGCTGTTCAGTTATAGGCTTGGTTCTTATGAAAAATGCATGTAAAATTTCAAGTTAATTCAGTCACCATGTGTTACGATTGACGTGATGTGTCAGCACGTTGCAAGAAGCTATTGGAAATTTTCCAATTTAATTAGAATTTTTTTGTTATCCTTCCTATTTTAAATTATCATACATCTTGAACAGTTTTCTGGTTAATTCTTATTATGAGAAGCGGTAGTTCCTATAGCTAGATATATTTTATTTATTCACCTGACGCATTTACTACACTATGATTACCGAACAAGTTACGACCCGCCCGTCATACCATTATGAAAGCCTCGAGCATTTTGGATTTTGGTGAGTTAAGCCGTACGAGTACGTAAGCCTCTAGCATAATCTTCGCTGGTAAGTTGCAATTCATTGCTAGTTTTTTTTAAATAATGTTTCGTATGCGATAATGTTAGTATCGAGCACGTATTAGCACAGCGCTACCTGCAGTTTTTATCATGATTTCGAAAATGTATCGAGTTCAAGAGAGGATAAAGGGGACAGAGAAGGCATCCCCCATACACACCCTATTCTTTAGGTAATTCGTCTCGAGTTATTTTTAGAATCGGGATAAAGTTACCTCGCGTGCTGCGTGGATGTTTCATGGAGGTTTCGCATGACTAAACGCCGTGTAATACATGTCGGGCGAAAGGCAATGAAAGCGTAAAGAGATCGAGAGCATTCCTGAATATTGAAGCGAAATGAGTCGGCGCTCACCTGGGAAAAGGGAATCGCTAGACTCTTTGACAACCCGTGAAATCAGTTTAACTCGAAGTTGTCGTAACCTCAGTGCTTTAATAAAATGAGAAATTTCGCCGGTCTATTGAAACCGGTCGTTTGTATAATAAAGCAAGTAGGACGCCAAGTGTTATTTTTGTTGAATAATAAAAGACTATATAATAAAAGAATAAATATCAATCTAGAAATTGCTCTCTTCAAACTGTAAATTATAAATGAGAGAATATTCAGTGTGTTAAGGATTTCCCTGCAGTACTGTTAGCTCTATACAAGAGAGGAAGGCCGATTCTTTTAAATTTCCGTTTCGCTGACACAGCTTTAGCAGAAATCTCTCTTTAGTCGTTTTCGTCGACAAAACAAATAGCAATATCGCTCTCCGCGTCTTCCGCCATTTTTTTCAGCGTCAATTCGTGAAGGGCGCTTGGCTCTGAGCGTGGGTCATCCACGCGGAACACATTCGCGTTATGTGATTGCCTGTTGTCTAATCCCCCTCGGGATCTGTGGTCTTAAAAATAACTCGAGACGAATTACCTGTGGAATACGGTGTGTATGGGGGATGCCTTCTCTGTGCCCTTTATCCTCTCTTGACCGGATTCTTAAGAAAAACAGTGAATGAAATGATAATTTGCCACAAATATGAAAAGTTTTCTTGGCTAATTTTC